ACCATTCCTAAAGCACGTGTCTGTGGGGGGGGGGGGGAAACCTGTATTCTTCTTGGTTCAGAAAAAAGGCATAGATTTCATGGGGGAGATTGTCACCCCCTTCCCAGTGAAATGAATTTTGGCTTTCATTTTTGCCAACAAGTCTCTTCCCAAGAGGGGTAGGGGAATTCAGGGATAACCATGAAGGAATGGATAACCTTTTTTCTTTCCAAGTTCACAGTTCATTTTGTGGTCCATGGATGCAAGACTGTCCCTGTATCCTTTTGAGCATGTGTTTGTTTGTCTAATAGAGGCCCTAGCAGGTTTTTAGCAGCTCACAGAATCGTGAGCTCAAGTGTTCACTAGGAAATAAATAGGTTGCCCCCTCAACTTGTAGGGTTACCCAAGCCTTGAAGAGTGGCTTTGAACCCTGTCCCCTTCAGTTATCTAGGCCTGCCAGTTCAAGGACCTTTTGGCTATATTTAGTTCCCTTTTGTCCTTTCTTTCTCTGGGGATATTCCCTCTTCCAATGGTCCATTTCCTTGCAGTATATCCATTGATTCTTTTTGATATAGGGGCACTGGGATCTCCCCACAGACACTGGCTATTTGTGACAGTTGGCAGTCCCTAAGTCCAGTGAACCCCTGGCTTCTGTCTGCTACCAACAACATTTTGGCCAGTCCTTGAGTTTGTCTGTCCTCGGGTGACTCTCTGTTGTTATAAACTTTGGCGGCTATAGCCATTAATTAAGATAAAATTTTAACCTTCAAATCTGTGATGCTGCTGAAGTTTCCCTTTAATATCTGGGGCTGCTTGGTTAATGAAAGCCAGCTTGAGCACCATCTGATTTTTCTGGTATTTCAGGATCCAATGGAGTATAGGTACCATAGGCATCCATCAGGTGTTCAAGAATTCACTTGGTGGTTCATTCTTTTCTTGTACTACCTGACTCACCTTAGACAAATTTGTGGGCTGTCTAGTAGCCATTCAGAACCCCCCTATAAGAATCTGGTGACAGACTTTTAACCACTCCCTACCTCCAGCCATGTTGTGGTCCCATCTCCTCCCCTCCCCAGTCAGGAAATGGGGAGAGCAGAATTAATAGCTGTCTCATCATCTGTGGGGTGACCATCTTGCCCTGGAACCAGCTTGAGGCATTCTTGTCAGATTCTTTCTCTCTCTCCATAGTACTAAATACAACCTGGAAGATCTGTTGGCAGTTATACCAAGTGGGCTGATGGGCAAACAGCTTCTCGGTAAAAGACAGTGACTGGAGCTTCCAATTGCATAGATCACTGGTGACAAAGGGAAAATAGGCTAGGCGAGAGTTGCCCTCCACATCAGGTGGCCGCATGGTGCTGAGGGTGAGAGCAATGGAGGTCACAATTCATGATTTTCCTGAATGAATATGGAGCAGGCTTGGCCCAGAGATGAATGATGAGAGGGAAAGGGGAAGAAGGAGGAGCTGTGGGAGGGAGCAGAGGGTCTAGGGGAAGGTGATGCAGTAGGGGAGTTAGCAGCCATGCTATTCCCTGTCAGAGAGGTGTTCCTCATTTGTTATAGAGAGGAGGAGGGGAGTCAACAGCTCAGGATCAGAAGGGGAAGGCAAGACTGCAGGAGCATCAGACCGACGAGGCTTTTCTTTTGAATTCCTTTGTTGAGCAAGAAGAATGGCAGTCTTATTCTCGGAGGAAAGAATGAGGGGTTTTAACCAGGAAGGGGGTGTTGACCAGAAGACAGCATCAGGCCACAATGTAGGGGACCTGGTCTGGATGGTTAAAACCATGTCCTGGATCCTAAGAATAAGCTTATGATCAAAGGAACCTTTAGGAGGCCACCCAACTTGGAAGACTGGCCACTCTGCTGAACAAATGACCCTAATTCTCATATGGGTGGCAAAGAATGCTGCTGCATTCCTAAAGTCCTGAAAATGAGTAAGGATGAGGTCCAATGGGGGCTTAGATTTAGAGGAAGTTTGACCCATGGTGGGAATTAATTCACAAGGAAGTACAAGAAGGAGACCAACACCAAGCAAGACAAGGAGTAAACGAGAACAAGGAGACAAAAATTCGGCAGATGGAAGGAAGAATGCTACAAAATGGGCTACATGGTCCTGAACCAGTCCCGATGGGCTGCAAATGACCCAACAGTCATAGGAGGAGTTGAGGTGTCCCTTGTTCCCCTCAGGCTCAGAGGTCAACGGTATGTTTGCCTGCTCTCTATTGAGTCCCAGCTTGTCCATATATCAGTTACAAAAACCAGAGAAAAACATACTGATTGGCCTGAACCAGTAGAATAAAGTTGCTGGAGACTGCAGTGTCCTCCCAGATTTGCACAATCCTGGATGAGCCCCCAAAATATTGAGTCCTCGAGTTGTGCCAATAATGGGGACTAGACCACCAAAGTCTACTAGCCAAAAGGAAGCTTTATTCCAAACACCCTGGGGTACCAAAAATTTTTAGCTAGCTAGGGCCACAGGCAGAATTTGGGCTTCTGACACTGTGACACCAAGGGGAGGCCTCAAGCCTCTTCTTATAGTAAAAACCACAAGACAGGTGATGAGTCCAAAGAAGTTTTATAATCTTGAGTTTAGACCTTGGGTCGCATTACTTTCTGAGATTCACACCTTTTTTTTTGAGACAGGGTTTCTCTGTATATCTCTGGCTGAACTGGGATTCACTCTGTAGACCAGGCTGGCCTCAAACTCACAGAGCTCCACCTGTCTCTGCCTCCCAAGGCATGCCCCATCACCAACCCGCTGAGATTCATAACTTTTGATTACAGGTGTTAGTTCAAAATCTTTGCAAAAGCCTGTGGCTATCTTGACACAGCTGCTTTCCTCCCATAGTCAGAAGGGATGTAGGGCGGTGGGTCACAGAGAGGTTAGAGGCTAACTTCTGTGCACAGCATCTGTCAGCTCCAGTTCTAGGATATGTGTATAGGCTATAGGCACACAGTTTTTCCTGTTTCTGGGTTCTTCAGTTGCAAACAAATGCCTTGCAGCAGCATGGTGAAGAACCAAAGATTCTTGCTTAAATAGAGATGGAGTTTTAAAAAATTTTTTACCAAAGGAGATAGTTTATAGAAAAACAAACATATTGACTCAGTTTATTTTAAAAATGAAAAACTAAAGATAAAGTATTACAACATATAGCTGGTGTCTTAGTTAGGGCTACTAGGGCTGTGATGAAAACACCATGACCAAAAGGGAGGAAAGAGCTTATTTCACTCAGTGCCGTATAACAAACCGTTCATCACTGAAGAAAGTAAGGACAGGAACTCAAATAGGGCAGGGATCTGGAGATAGACGCTGAGACAGAGGCCATGGAGGAGTGTTGCTTACTGGCTTGCTCCTCATGGTTTGCTCAGCCTGCTTTCTTAAAGAATCCAGAACCACCAGCCCAGGGATGGTATCACCCACAAGGGCTTGCCTTATCCCACCAATCACTAAGAAAATGCCCTGTATCTTATGGAAGCATTTTCTCAATCAAGGTTCCCTCCTTTGGGATAACTTTAGCTTGTGTCAAGTTGGCATAAAACTAGTCAGCACAGTTGGTAAACGCTAAAAGAAAAGCATGGACACATTCTGAAGTATTCCACACAGTTTCTGGGGGGAGTTTGGGCTAGCTACTTCCTGGATAGCAGGTCTGTTTTGTGGAGGAGGTAAAACTGGCTCAGGGCTGTCCGGAGGCTCATCTTTGTCAGCCTCAGCTCTTGGGGTTTCTCTGCAGATATCTTAGCTTGTTTTGCTAGAGTGAAACTGCCAACTGGGTGGCGGTGGCTTTAACATCGGGAAGTGCACAATCAGCGTGCTGCAGGCTCCACTGTCTGGAGTAGGCCACTTCCTGGTTCATAGATGAGAGTGTCTCACTATGAATAGGGTAGGAAGTTTTTGACATAAGGGCACTAATCCTGACCACAAGGGTTCCATCTTTATGACCTAATCACTTCCCAAAGCCCCACACCAACAGCTAAAATTGAACTTGGGTGGGGACACAGGCACTCAGTCCATGGAGATAGATTTTCCTCTTTGGTAGCTCCCAAACTTTCTCCTTTAAGGGAAGCAGAAAGTAGCCCATTTGGTCACAGTGAGAGGTCTTATTTCACAATCCAGGCCTAACAGGAGTCTTTACTTCCAAATTTACCCTTGTCAATTGCTCAGTGGTTTCAGAACCCATGGAGGGGAGGCTAGTGACTGAGAACAAGAACAGAATCCTTATGTTTTCATGAGTGTCAGAGACTCAAATTGTCTCATCAGTGAGACTCTGGAGAGGTTGATGCTAAGGGACCATTCAAAGAAGATGATGAAGCTAGTGGCAATAACCATGATTTCCTGCAGATGTGTGATCTGATTGCTTCTGACCAGGGCACAGGCCAATCCTTAATGTAGCCAGTGTAAAGTGGGTTGTAGCATTATGGTCACATAAGTCACATAAACAACAATGATTTTTTTTAAGGAAGTAGAAGGAAGCTTTGCTTTAAGAAAACATGTGCAAAGTAGATAAAGAGGTGTACATTTCATTCATCCACAAAATATATACTGCCTTCACCATGATGCTAAAAAATTCCTTACCTATTAAATAAAGATAACGATTCTTACAATCTGTAGTCATTACGAAAACTAAGAAAAAGAATGTGTATAAAAAATGTATCTGGATGTTATAGTATACTGTGTGGTCACAGCCTGTCAGCAACAAAGGCAAGAGGATTGTCATAGAATGAAGGCCATCCTGGTCTATAAGCTAAGTCCAGGCCTGCTAGACGTATACAGAGAGACCCTGTATGAAAACAGACAGACAGACAGACAGACAGATATGTAGCCGCAGTAAGCGTTCAAATTGTAGTTGTTGATATTTTTTATAACTTCTAATTCAATACTGCTTTGGCAACACATTTGAGAACACCTTGGTTGGTAGATAAAGGTTTGTATGCTAATCATGATATGGATATGAATCTGTGATTTCTTTTAAGTGGGAGCTAAGTTAAAAGGTAAATATACCTTTGTAGTGTATGTTACTTACAGAGATGTAAAATACCACAAGAAGCAAACATGAGAATCACCCACTTTCAAATAGCGTTCCTCTTCCTGGGTCTAAAAAGAAATGCAAAAGAAAAAAGTAAGTTAAATTTGAGATAGACCAATGGGGATGTAAGCCTGAGCATCACAGAAGAACTGTTATTTAACTAAGAGTAGACAAAAGTAGATTTTAGACTAGAATCAATAACATACATACAGAAAGTATTCAATTCCTCAGCTTCTCTATAGTTACTGGAATGAATGGCAAATTTTGGAGATGCCTGGCAACTTGCTATTCTTATTGTGTCTCTCCTATTTTTCTCATGGACGTATGCTTCTACTCATCTTCTGGATCAGTGATTCTCAACTGCCCAGGGGACAGGTTATGTTTGGCAATGTGTGGAAGTGGTTTGGGTTATTCCGACTACCTGTTTGTTTTCTAAGTCAGCAGACCCTGTGTCATTCGTTTGCATTTGCACGTGTTTTCTTGAATTGAAGAAAGGGAAGTGGAATAAAAGATGGGTCTTCAGTTTGCCTTTGGTCCTGAGTATTGCCATTGGAATGTGTAACTTGAGACTTTGTAGGAGCCAACCACGATAAGCTTAATAGAAACAGACCATCCAAAGGAAGTTCTTAACTTCCAACCATTATCACCTGCCAGTGTAGGACCCAGCCAGGATAAGCTTAATGGAGGCCTGAGTCTCTCAATAGTTTACACTGAAGCAATACCTGGTGGCGGGAAGGACCACAAACTGAGATTACCCAGGCACCACCCAAGAACAGACCATCCAAAGGAAATACCTAATGTTCTAACCATTGTAGATAGGATCACCTGCCAGCACATACTCACCAGGACACCCCAAGACAAACATCAGCCAATCAGGGGACCTGAACCTTAGAAATCCCTCACCCCCACCTTTTCCACTATAAAAACCCAACTCTAACTGAGCTTGGGGCTTGGGGCTCTCTGATTATTCCAATATGTTGGACACATGGAGAGACCGAGTTTGCAAATTTGTATAAAATAAAGGCTCTTTGATTTTACATATGGGACTTGGTCTCCTTCACGAATCTGGGCATAACAACCTATTCTGAGAGCATCATTAACAGTCAGGATGCTGGCATACTAAGTAATGAAAAGGCTAAATAGTAGGGTTGAGGTGTTAGTTGAATGGCTCAGTACTTGCCAAGGATACACAAGGCCTTGGGTTCAATCTCCAGTATCATGAATGAACGAATGAATGAATGAACACATACAAAGAAAGGAAACTGAAGTAAAAATTAGATATAATTTCACAATTTATACTCTGATATGAAAAATGACAGACTGACAGTAATTTCAAAATGTTGGCTGAGGTCGCTTGTTCTTCCCAGTTGCCTGGCTACCTTAGACCCGAAATAATCACACAGAAACCCTATTATTTAAATTACTGCTTGACCTATTAGCTCTAACTTCTTATTGGCGTACTCCTACATATTAATTTGACCCATTTCTATTAATCTGTGTATCGCTACATGACTGTGGCTTACCGGGTAAAGCTCCCAGCGTCTATCTCCAGTGGCTCCATGGCTTTTCTCTGACTCTGCCCTTCTTTCTCCCAGCATTCAGCTTAGTTTTCCCTGCCTAGCTAAGTTCTGCCCTGCTATAGGTTCAAAGCAGTTTCTTTATTTATTAACCAATAAAAGCAACACATAGACAGAAGGACCTCCCACACCATCAAAATAGCTCTAATTTGTAGTTATGACTAAAATTATTTTAGACAATTTGTATTGGAAAGGCCGGATGAGAATGGAACAGTGATTATTTTTTCAAAATTCAATAAAACATTACTAAAATCAACTTACTTGGTTTCTGACATTTGGTTGTATGGCATGAAAGCCAGGTGAAACACAATGTAATTTTGTTATGGGAGAACTAAAGAACAGAAAAGAGAAAATCATTACAAATGTATTTAGGCCTGATTAAAAATCCACCCACGCTGGGCAGTGGTGGTGTACATCTTTAATCCCAGCATTTGGGATGTAGAGGCAGGTGGATCTCTGTGAGTTTGAGGCCAGACTAGTTTATAGAGCAGGACAGCTAGAGCTGTTATACAGTGAAACTCTGTTTCAAAAAACAAACAAACAAATAAACTAGCAAACAAAAACTCCACCCACACACAACTTTTAAGCTTAAACAATTTAACTGTATACTAGAAAGAGAAAAATGAAACAAAACTCTAACATAGCAACTGTCTTACTGTTCTATTGCTGTGAAGAAACACCACAACTAAGCAATTCTTACACAAGAAAGCATTTAATGCAGGGCTTGCTTGCAGTTTCAAAGAGTTAGTCAGCTATCATCACAGTGGGGAGCAGGCAGGCATGGCACTAAGCAGCAGCTGAGAGCTTTACATCCTGATCCACAGGCAGCAGGCAGAGACACTGGGCCAGGTGTGGACTTTTGAAACTTGAAAACCCACCTCAAGTGACATACCTCCTCCAGTCAGGACACACAAATTCCAATAAGGACACACCTCCTAATCCTTACAAGTAATTCAATTTGGGACTAAGCGTGCAAATATATGAGCTTATTGGAGGGGAGCGGGCATTCTCACTCAAACCACCACAGCACATTTTACTTCTATTTTTTTCTTTCTCTTTTAATTAATTAATTAATTAATTTTTGGCGGGGGTGGAGAGGGGATTTTTGAGGCAGGGTTTCTCTATGTAACTGTCTTGGCTGTCCTGGAACTCGCTTTGTAGACCTGGATGGCCTCAAACTCACTGAGATTTGCCCTGGAATTGAAGGTGTGTACCACCTCCGCCTGGCTTTACATCTATTTTCAAAGTAAGGTAGCCTTTCTTTCTGCATGTGTTTTCTGGAAGAAAATTTACATGAAGTCAGAACATTGAATCTGAATATCTACATTATGTGAGTGAATGCTGGTTTATACATTTTAGGGAAGGAATGGATGCATACATGGGGGAAAATCTTACTTTGGATGTTGAACTTCACAATTCTCTGATACGTTCCATGATAAAAAAGATTTTCCTTCATACTCTAGCTGGATCTAAGAAACGAGATGAAAGTTCATGTTAACAAAACAAGCACTGTTCATCTTGTTTTCAGTTGTAAGTTCAACTATCTGGTTTGTATTACTTTAAAAAAAACAACTAAGATTCAGTTATATTGAAATTGTGCGAAATAAAATGTCAAAACAACTAGGAATGCTTGTCACACATCAGCAATCGACACACTTGTGGCTGGAGAGATGGCTCCTCTTGCAAAGGACTGGGGTTTAGTTCCCAGCATCCACACCAGGCTCCTAAGTACCTGTAACTCCAGTTCATGGCATTGTACTTCCTCTTCTGCCCTCCAGAAATACTAAAACACACACACACACACACACCATACACATGCAAAATATATACACACATACCACACACAAACACATAAACACACACAGACTACACACACACAAATACACACACACCACACATACACACAAGCACACACAGACTATACACACTATACACACATTACACACATACCACAGACACCACACACACACACACACACACACACATAAACACACATACACCACACATACACAAACACACAGACTACACACATACCACACACACACACACACACACACCATGCAATAATAAATCAAGTTAAAATTGTCTATTAAGCATTTAAAGGGGAATGGTATTTTGATAGGTTATGAAGATTCAAAGTGATGAAAAGATATGATTCTTCGCTTAAAAACAAATTGTTTTAGTACTGAGGTCCTGCCATTGGCATATTACCAGCTGTCAACCATCATGACTTTATGGGTTACCTTTTCCTTACTTCTAACCACACACACACACACACACACACACACACACACACACACGGAGTTGGGAAGGAGAGGGAGCGAGTGCGAGGGGTGCAGCTCAGTGTCTCTGGGTCAAATATATAGTGCTAGTCAAGTAGAGTAAGGTGTGTGTGTGTATAGTTCTAAAATTAACCAATATACTTTCTTTTTCACTCTCACATAAGTAATTTACCCACACTGGCCACATTTATAAAAAAAGTCTTCATGAACCTTAATGAATTATTATAATACATGCTGTTCCTTTCAATACTAGCAAATAAAAATTAGAAGTTCATATACACTTAGGTGGAAAAAATTACTAGAGTGTCTGTAATTTTAAAGCAAAAATGAATCCAGCAAAGTGGACTTCTGAATGATTCTTTAAAGAAAACAATCCTAATGTAAATCACACAACACCTGCAAAAAACCAATTATAGCATTTGGTGTTATCAAAAATGACCATGTATTGCATAAGTAATAGTTCAAAGGGAACTTATAGTCTTCCATGTATATAAAAGAAATATGTTTGAAAACAAACTCAGTTGTCAGTATGAGAATAAAACAACAGCAGAGAACATCTCCCAGAAAAAAAGGAGACTTTTTTAAGAGAAAAAAAGGATTTCCTGAAAAGAAAATAACATTTATAGGAAGAAATAATTTCTATAAGTCACTAATGTGACGGCTAATTTTGGTTGTCAACTTGACTACATCTACAATCAACTAAAACCTAAGCAGCAGGGCACGCCTGTGAGGGTTTCTTGATTAGCTCTTTGGAAATGTGAAGACCCCCCACTTAAATCTGATGGCAGCCCACATAAAAGGACATGGAAGAAGAGAGCTTTTGCTTTTCGCCTGCTTATCCTCACTTTTCATTGATAAATTTGTCCATCCTATTCCTGAGGCATTTCTTTGCTGCTGTTAGAACCCACTTCTTCAGGGTTCCAGTGTAGTCTGAAGACCAGCAGCTCCTTAGGACTTCCCTGAGATTCTGGCCCAGACTGGGACTGCTGAGACATCCAGTCTTTCAGACTGAACAACTACCGGGCCCTTGGCTTTTCCATCAGGAGACAGCCATTGTTGAATTACCCAGACCACAGCTTGTAAGCCAGTGCAATAAATCTGAAAAATCCTGTAGGGAACCTGGACTAACACACCCTGTTGTGCTTTGAAAGTGAACTGCCTCGCTTGGGCCCCACCCGCTGTGCTGTCTGGGACAGTTTTAGGACTATTGGGTCTTACTAGAGCCAAGTTAAGTGGGTCACTTAACTGGGACCTTGAGGTATGACCAGGCCTCACTTGCTTCTCACTCTCTACTTCCAGACTGTGGATGCAGCCAGCCAGCCTCCCATGCTGCCCCATGCCTTTCCCACCATGATGGAATGGCATACACTCCTTGAAGTGTAAACCATAAAATAACCCTTCCTTTCCTTAAGTTGCTTCTTGTGAAGTCTCTCACAACCATTTGTAATGAGGTCTGGTGCTCTTTTCTGGCCTGCACACATACACACAGACAGAATATTGTATACATAATAAATAAGTAAATAAATAAATATTAAAAAAATAATAGTGATGCTTTAAAAACAAAAAACAAAACAAAACAAAAAACTTCTAGGATAGAACCAGAAACATTCAAACCCAAAAGTCAACAACAAAAGAAATCCCTACTGGAAATCAGTAATTAAGCTCAGTGACAAAATGTTTTTCAAAAGCCCTGTGTTCTTAGCACCCTCCACTCCCCCCCACCCACCCCCGCCCCTGGGGAACAGTACCACAGATCTATGAATTTCAAAACCAGTCAGCCAGAGACTGGATAGAAATGCTTAGAAGAGAAATGCAATTGGGCAGGAAGAAATATACAGGCTGAGGAAGGAGAATCAGCGACAGAGGAGCTGGCATGGAAGGCATTCTGTGTCCTTGTTTGTTTGTTTGTTTGTTGAAACAGGACTTCTCCGTAGCCTGTCCTGGAACTAGTTCTTGTAGACCAGGCTGGCCTTGTGTGCCACCATTGCCAGGCTGAGCTATTTTTAGCTACTCTTCCAATCTTAATGAAAGGGAAAGATAATTTCATTTTTTTTTTTTAACTTAAACTGGGCTTGTTTTTTTTTTTTAAGGTGGCTCAACTGGTAAAGGTGCTTGTCCCTAGTCTGGCAACCTGAGGTCAATCCCACAACCCATAAAAGCTGTCCTCTGACTTTCTCAGGAATGCCATGGCTTGTGTCCGTCCCCCCTCCCCCCCGAACATAATAACAAACCAAATTAGAAATCCAATAAAATCCCTTTAAAAAAAAAAAAAAGAAAAGAAAAAAAAATCCCTTTAAAGAGAAAAATCAACAGGAAGGGGATCACAGCCAAATCCTGTAGTTGTCAGAAAAGGAGGGCATGAGAAGTACGGCAGTATGTATCTGTGGAAGAGTGCAGATTTATCCAGACTTACCCAACAGCAGAAGTTAATGCAGAGAGTCACACGTAGTCAAAGTGCTGAGAAGGGATTGCTGAGTGTTCAGCCCTCAATGCTCAAACCCCTACAAGCTCCGGAGGAAGAGCAGATGGAGAGAACAGGGCTGGAGGTTGGGAGCAAGTCCTGTGAAACGCTGTCTTCTAGACATGACTGTTGTAGTTATGGCTTCCCTGCCCAAGACAAAGCCACCATAACCAGCAGACATCCCACAGGGAAGCGCTAAGTAGACTCAGTGGGGTTTAAAAAAAATCAAGGACAATGAAGGTGGTGGACAAACATGTTGGGGGAATGGCAACAGGAAGTGACAGGGGGATTTGGAACAGATTTATCAGTGTGTACATGTGTGAAATTGTCAAAGAATAAGTAAAAGAGAAAAAGAAAGTGATGATAAAATGGAACAAAGAGAATAGAGGCTATATTGCTTGAGGCCCTGGGTTTAATTCCCAGCAAAGCAGAAGAGGGATAGACTATTGAGTGTACAACTTGGATGGAATGAGGTAATAAAAACCCATCTCAGAACGGTGTTAGGATGTTTTAATGTAACTGTAAACATTTTACACACGTATGAATAACAAAATCTAGAGAAGGAGAACTGGTTTATGGTAACAGAATTGGAGAGCGGCTGTCAAGTGTATTTTGTAAGAGGACAGCAGAAAGGAGCCTTGGAGCGCCAGAGCAGTTTCTGTGGCGTAATCGTGGCAGGGATTACACGAAGCAACACATGGGTTAAACCTGCATAGAGCTGTGTGTTCAAATGTGTGCATGAGGAAACAAATCCGATTCAATACTGTGCCAATGTTTCCTGGTTTGAGTATTTGATACAAGAAGTTACTTATTGAGAGGAGCTAAGTGAAAGGTATCGCCCATATTTCTTTGCAGCTCTCCTGGACCTATAATTATTAAACAAACAAACAGACCAAGATTTCCCTCAAGAGCTTGAGCAATAGCTTAGTTGGTTGGGAAAGTGCTTACTGCGCAAGCATGAAGACCTGAAGTCGATCCCCAACACATGGATAAAACGCCCGGTAGGGGAACAATATCTGTGGCCCAGCATTGTGGTCACAGAGTCCGAAGAATCCCTGATCCTTGCTGCCTAGGTAGTCTAGCCAGTCAGAGAACCCAAGCTTCAGTGAGAGACTGTCTCAAAAAACAAGAGGACTGGAGAGACCATTTGGGATTGAGAACACTTGCTCCTCTTGCAGAGGACCCGGTGGTGTTCCACAGCCATCCTTGACTTCAGTTCTAAGGGACCCAACATCCTCTTCTGCTATAGGAATTCCTACGGCCAGTAGCCTTTAAGTTACCTGCCCACTTTGGCGTGACCTCTTATACTATAAATGCCAATGTAAAACATGTGTCTGGCCTCTCTTCCAGCCGCAGGATTCAGTTGCTGTTCCCCGTTGGAGCAGAGGATTGTGATTTGTGAGTCTACCCGTAAATAAATAACCCTTTATTATACTCAATTCTGACCTAGTGTGAGGTTTCTTTTTAGCATCCATTTTCACTCTTTTGACCTCTCCAGTACACACAGTAAACACATATACATGCAGGCAAAAAATTCATACAAACTGAACAAATCATTTTTAAAAAGGGTAGGTGTAGAGTGATTGAGAAATACATGCAATGTTGACTTTTGGCCTCCACATGAACATGTATATACATATGTACCCGAACAAATGTTTATATACACTTGACCATGCACACACCCAAAGAGAATATACAAATAAATAGATTTTTTTTCAATGAAGAAACAAAACCTGTGTCCTCAAATGGAATGGCAGATTTTCCTGTCAACTTGACTAATTACAGCAATTTGTAGATATGGTTTACAACTGTAATCAATTTTAAGTACGAGAACATGCTCTCCATAGCCAATTGGAAGACTTAAGAGCAAAATTAGCTTCCTGGAAAACAAATTCTGTCTCAAGACCACAGCATCATCACTTGCATTTCTAACTGTTTGGGCTGGTCTAAAACTTTCAAAATCACCAGAGACTCCTGAAGAGAAACAAAAGGCTACATAGAGGAAACAATTTTAACACAATGAAAAATGCGCGCATACACATATCATAATAAATAAATAAGCAGCATTTGAATTCAGTGTAAAATAAATTATCAATGCAAGTAGACAGATTATGAGCAATGAACTACTGGGCTAGAGAGATGGCTCATCCACAAAGAGCCCTTGCAGCTCTTGCAGGGGACCCAGGGTTGGTTCCCAGCATCCATATGACAGCTCATAACTAACTGCCTTTAACTGCAGCTTCCAGGGGTTCCAACGCTGTCTTCGGGCCTCTGAGTCTAGTGCACTAAGGTGGTATAATACACGTATGCAGGTAAATACTCATAAACATAAAACTTTTTAAAAAGAGAGAATTGAACAAGTTATGCTGTTACATTTTTTAAAACGTAATAAGGAGACTAAGGACCCTACATTTATAGCTCTGGTTTACATGGGCTGTAAGTTTACATCTGTTGAATAATAGTTATTCTATTTCTCAATAGGCAATATAGTATGTATAACATATGTATATATCGCAACACCTTTTTGTGACTATTAAACCACAAAATACATAAAATAGCACTGCCTATTTTTTAAATTTATTTATTTTTTGTTTATTGGGTTTTGTTTTGTTTTGTTTTGTTTCTCAAGACAGGATTTCTCTGTGTAGTCCTGGCTGGCCTGGAACTCACAGAGACCCGCCTGCTTCTGCTTCCTAAACACTGGTGTTATGAGTGCTGTGCTGTGCGGAATGAGCAGGCTGAGGTTCCAGGTTGTTGCGTTAGAAGGGGCAGTTCTATTAGAGTGTGCGGCCCGCCTGGCCACAGCCCTCCCATACATGTCTGCCCTTTCCTCATTCCCTCCCCATCTTGAGCCAGGGTTCTAGACTCAAGCTCTGCGAGACATGGCACTATGAACATATTTAAGGACATGTAGCAGAGAGGGTACCAACAGTAAGGTGACAATGAGAAGAAAAAGGAGATACAGATGAAACAGCTATGAGACAGTATGAAGAACCCTGTGAGGGCTCAAAAATACTAACATTCTTTAAAAATAGTCAATACTTACCCAATTCCTGATACTAAGAATGGAATAGTCCGAGCTATTGATGTAATATCTGTGGAGAAAAGGGCGAGATGTGATCTTGACAGTAACTTCTCCTCTACGTAGTAGGAATTCTATACATGGTCAGGGGATATCTGGGCTTCCAAGAGCTTTACCCTCCCAGGAAAGTGAGGTCAACAAATGGCCACTACCCATCAGTCTAGCTGGTTAGGGCTTGCTCGGTTCATGAGGCATTAAAGTGACGTGAGAAGTAGTCCTCCCCCTTATTCACTTTAGATTTTGAAACAGGAACTTGCTACATGGCCCTGGCTAGCCTTGAGATCACTATGTAGTGCAGGCTAGCCTCAAAGTCATGATGAACCTCTGAGTGATGGGATTTCAGGCACTCACCACAGAGCCTGGCTGAATATATTTTGTAGAACAAATGCTACTGAATATATTAGGTTTGACTCCTTCACTTATGAACTCAGATAAAATTCAGAAAACTGGAGACTAGAGTTTCAAAACCCAGTAGTTTTCGTCTTAGAATACTAGAAACAAAACTTCTAAGTCCTTGTTCATGATCATTTTTGTACTATTCATTTGTACCTTAAATTCTATATAGCTCATCCATCTCAGGAGCCACTAATGCAATAGAAATAAAATATAAGGCACTGTGCACATATAATTAAACTCTGTCTAGTATCATAAAGTACAAGAACAGACACAACTCATTTCTATAATATATTCAAGCCAAACCGTAATCACTGTAAAATAATTATTAATAAGGTAGTTTACATTCTCTTTCTCTCTCTCTCTCTCTCTCTTTTTTTTTTTTACTAATTCTTTGAAATCTGACGTGTGTATTACACTTAAAGTCCATCTCAATTTGAAGTGTATTTTAAGAGCTCACAAATCACATGTGGTCAGGGATGCTCACAAAACGTCTTTCCGTTTGCTAATCTACTCTATCTACCCTGCATATTTCATTGCTGCTAGAATGGGTCCACCCTTAAAATTTTAAACCAGAACCATTTTTCCTGTGTGTAAGAGAAAGTTGCTAGAATGCTATTATGTAGTTCCTTTATCAGAATTACACAAACCTCAACAGTGCTCTGAATTCTTATTTCAACAGATGTTCACCACCAGGAGAATTTTGCACATTTTATATGGACATGTACTCATCAAATAAAGAAACACATGCTTTTATATAGCACTACTAATTAAAATGAATAGATTTTCATCATAGGTTTCATTGTCCCCCCCCCCGAGCAAGTGTGAACCATCTCTCACTTCCTATGGATTTAGAATAAAATCCTTTTTAGTATATTTGGAAGTGTTAGACGAGAGAAGAACTACAGGTGGGAATTAGGGCATCTTAAGACAAAGTTACAGTATGCAATTTAATTTGCGAACACACTGGAAACTAAGTGATGATGCTCCCTTTCCTGGGTGTCAGTTGGTACCTGTTCCTTCATCAGCTTCACCTCACCCTGGAGATGCTATAAAAGGTACATCTAGCTTACTAACTCTGGCTGCACGATAAGGAGACTGCCTTCTCCTCGTTTCCTACCTTGTGTCAGCTAGATAACGTGTTGATGTTGGAAATGGATCTAAGAGTAAAACAGCCACACTGGTCAGCCTTACAGCCAGGCAGTGGTAACACACACCTTTAATCTCAGTAACCACACTAGTTGCCATAGAAACCAAGCAGTGCATACTTTTAATCCCAGTGATGCAATCCTTTAATCCCGGAACTAGAAAGGATTATAAAATGGGAGGAAATAACTCTCAGGCATAGTCTCATTCTGAGATTCTGGGAGGCAGGATCACCATTTTCAGACTGAGGTTGAGGTAAGAGAGTGGCTGGCTATTTTGCTTTTCTGACCTTCAGGTTGAACCCCAGTTTTTTTCTCTGAGTTTTTATTAATCGTGCTTCAGCCTCTAATCTTTAACCTTTTCTTCTCTTAATAGATAACCCCCTTCCTAGTTTTGTGAGGTTTTTTTCCTTTTTCTATATAAATTTATAAATTATGCTGTTTGGGCGAGCCATTGTCTCTTGAGCTCTGAACCTATATATGTGTAAATTGACAAAATAGTGACTTTGAGAAAGCACTTGAGGGACTAAAATCATTCTATTTCATTCATTACAGACTCAACCCCATACATCTGGTGGACAACTAGAGGGAACCTATTCTTCTGGCACACAATGAACTACATCGGGTTTCTACTCCTGCAATGAAACACCATGACAAAAAAGCAAGGTGGAGAAGGAAGGGTGTATTTGGCTTCTACATCCACATCATAATGCATCAATAGAGGAAGTCAGAACAGGAGCTCAAGCAGGACTGGAACCTGAAGGCAGGAGCCAATGTAGAGGCCATGGAGGGGTGCTGCTTACTGCCTTGTTTTGTATGGCTTGTTCAGCCTGCTTTGTTATAGAACAAGGACCACCAGCCCAGGGATGGCACCACTCACAATGGACAGGGCGCTACCCAACTGATGACAAATTGAGAAAATGCCGGACAGCTGGCTCTCGTGGAGATCTTTCCTCACCTGAGGCTTCTTCCTCTCTGATGACACGAACTTGCGTCAAGCTGACACACAAAACCAGCAAGGACACACACACACAGAATATTTATAAAAATGCATCACTTAGTTGGCCCCAAGGCAAGTGCTGACAGATTTCCAAGAACAAGACATCACACTCTGTGGTTATACGGCCTCAGTAAGAAGTTATTACAAAGCCGGGGGTGGTGACGCACACTATTAGTTCCAACAAGGGCAGAGGCAGCCAGGTCTCTGTAAGTTCAAGGCCATTATTTTATTCCAAATATTTATAATAATAATAATATTATTATTTAAAATAATATTTATTTATTTAAAGTGTAAGTATTTTGACACATCTAAATGTATTTAAATCCATTACCATTGGTTTCTTGTTTTAAGTAGAAGATTTGAACCAAGAGATATTGAGTTGCTTGAGTATCCTAAATCCATTGGTTGAGATTGGGGAGGAAGTTGATCATAAAGTTCAGAACAAAGTAAAAAAATAAAACCAAGGAGAGCAAAGCCACTGTTTGTGTACTGGGTTATCTTCTCTTTGCTTGTTTTCTATTCCTAGTAGTTTCCAGAGCTACAATAGGGTCTGTCTCTCTCGTTTCATTCTGGCTTCCCTCTCACCATATTCTTAAGTACTCACCATGACATCTGCCCAAGTTTATGTAAACTCCAAATATCTTGTATCCCTAACAGTGTATTTTATTTGTGTGCTGGTTTGGTCACCTTGACACAAGCCAGGGTTATCTGTAAAGAGGGAATCTCGACTAAGAAAATGATCCCATCAGTTCAGAATAAGAAAAGATGTATCATCCTGTGACTCGTTTTCATAAATCTGGTGTTGCACTAATAACAAAACCAAAGTACACTGAGCATGTTGGTACTGTGGAACAATCCTCTTGTACACTGTGAAGATTTGTCACTTGAATTGGTTTAATAAAATGCTGATTGGCTAGTACCCAGGCAGAAAGTATAGGTGGGGCAACCAAACTAAGGATGATGGGAAGGAGAAGGGCAGAGGCAGAAGACATCAGCCAGATGTAGACAGAATAAGATGGGCAGACTATACTGAGAAAAGGTACCACCACGTGACAGAGCATAAATAAGGAATACAGGCTAACTTAAAATGTAAGAGCTAGTTAATAATAAGCCTGAGCTATTGGTTGAGCATTTATAAGTAATATTAAGCTTCTGTGTGGTAATTTGGGAAGAAGCTGCTGGGTATTTGGGACTGAGCAGCTCCGAGACAGGAAGCTTCCACCTACATGTTGGTGTTTGCCTTTCATTCCAGCACATGAAAGGCAGATATAGGCATATTTCTGAGTTTGAAGTCATATCATGGTTCACATAGAAAGTTCCATATCATCCAGGCCTACATAGTGAGATCTTATCTCAAAAGAAAAGGGAAAAAAGAGGAGGGGGCTGGAGAGATGGCTCAGAAGTTAAAAATATGTATTGCTTCAATGCAATGTCCATCAAAATCCCAGCAAAATTCTTCAAAGACCTCGAAAGAACCATACTCAACTTCATTTGGAAAAGCAAAAAATCCAGGATAGTCAAAACAAACCTGGGCAATAAAAGAACTTCTGGAGGCATCACAATCCCTGACTTCAAATTCTACTACAGAGCTATAGTATTGAAAGCAGCCTGGTATTGGCATAAAAACAGACAGGAGGATCAATGGAACCGAATAGAAAACCCATATATCAATCCACATATCTTCAAACACCTGATATTTGATAAAGAAGCAAAAAAATATCGAATAAAAAAAGCATATTTAACAAGTAGTGCTGGCATAACTGGATATCAACATGGAGAAAAATGAAAATAGACCCATATCTATCACCATGCACAAAACTCACATCCAAATGGATCAAAGACCCAAACATAAAGTCAGTCACACTGAACCTTATAGAAGAGAAAGTGGGAAGTACACTTGAACACATTGGCACAGGGAACCACTTCCTAAATAGAACTCCAGCAACACAGACACTGAGAGAAACAGTTAATAAATGGGACCTCCTGAAACTGAAAACTACTATAAAGCAAAGGACACAGTCAACAAGACAAAATGACAGCCTACAGAATGGGAAAAGAGCCGGGCGGTGGTGGCGCACACCTTTAATCCAACACTCGGGAGGCAGAGGCAGGCAGATCTCTGTGAGCTTGAGGCCAGCCTAGTCTACAAGAGCTAGTTCCAGGAGAGGCACCAAAAACTACAAAGAAATCCTGTCTCAAAAACAAAAACAAAAACAAAAAACCCAGAATGGGAAAAGATCATCACTTATCCCACATCAGACAGAGGTCTGATCTCCGAAATATACAAAGAATTCAAGAAATGGAACACCAAAAGATCACATAATCCAATAAAAAAAAATGGAGTACAGACCTAAACAGAGAACTCGCAACAGAGGAATCTAAAATGGCTGAAAGACACTTAACGAAATGTTCAATATCCTTAGTCATCAGAGAAATGCAAATCAAAACAACTCTGAGATTCCATCTTAAACCTGT